AACAGGTATTTATACATTTTTCAAAATTTACATTACTATTTTAAATATTTCATGAAAAAATGTTAGGAATAAATGGTAGAATGTACTCTATTTTTTAGAAAATAAGCCACGAGTATTTATAATGTGGTTGTAGACGAATCTTTTAATTTTAAAATATAATAATTTCATCCCTCAATCCCAAGGAATTAATGGTTGTACATGTATATGAATTTGACAAATATTTGAGTTGACATGAAACTATGATGTGCTAGTATATTAAAGAGGGAAGTAAGGTTTTATAGATTTAGCCAAGACCGGGTTTTTCATGCATGAGCTCAGAACTGGTGCTGGAAAAAGCTCAGCTGATCTGAAAATGCATGTTTTGCCCAAGTTTGCATGTATGTTGTGTGCTCTCTGATAGTTTGTTGCATGTATCTTTAAAAGGCCATGCATTAACTTGTTTGCCCCATCCCTATAAGTATTGGGTTAATTGACTCAACTGCTGGCATATTTCTGGTGTTCCTGAGGTAGGGGCTAATGTGACAGCTAGCCCTAGGCCAGTAAGCAAGATCTCACTCACTGTGTGGTTATTTTTATAGTGGAAATTCCTTTCATATTGTATGGACAACCTGACTGGCTCAGTTTTCAGATCTCACCTGAAGAAGGCAAGCTCTCAGTTACACCAGGAAGATATTTTATGGATATAAACACTAACTGGACTGACCTGGTCAAAGTAAAGTCAATACAACATTGGTCATGGAAATATTGTCAAAACAATAGAATTGTGTTGGCAAGGAAATTAATCTGGAAATAATAAATAGTTCTGCCAACCAGGCCAGCCTGGCTTCCATATTGATAGCCCCTATGGCTATAATCTATTCTTGCTTATTGCAGAATGCTCCCACAATGAGTTCATGCCACTGTTGTTAGAGAACCTCCAAGAAACATGTATTAATTGTTTCAAAATTAATTAAAGACAAAAATTTGCTTGATTTTGTATATTTATTTATTTATTTTAATTCAACTTGCATGGTTAAAGAATAATTATCCAATTGGGACGTTCCAGAAAAGATCCACACTCCCCCCACCGAGGAAATTTCTGCCGTCCGGAGGGGGAGGGGAGAAAAAATTGTTTCTGATAATAGTAAATGTACGTAATTTCCTCCGTGGGGGTGGTATGGATGTTTTCTGGAATATGACCCATTAGCAGTAAATAATATTAAAACCTAACTGTACAATCAAGTTACATGTAATACTTAACAGTATTATTAAAAAATTAAAACTAGAGCTCATGGGTTATTCTTTGGCTGTTTGTAGTACATACATATAAATAACACATTCCCACAAAATTATAGAGAAAAGTAATTGTTAGTTCTGGCATGCAGTTAAGTCTGGCAAGAGCTAGTGCACCACTTAACTCTTGCTATTTGAACATTCGAAAGAACTTGTATTAATTTCTTGTTCACATGACTTACATCAGATTCACCCTAAATGAGAAATGTCCATTATACATATAAAATAGTGACAGTACCATTATGAAGACACTGAAGATGTATTGGGTCACAGATCCCAGACTCCAATTACAAGGAAATTTACTGCAGAGCAGAGCCCAGACAGTTCAGTTAGACATTGACATGTTAACCCATTGAGCACTGAGTGGCTCTCCAGTTCACAAGTAAAATAGTCTGGTGTTAGACAGAGTAAAATAATAAAGTAGCTAGGGTGCATTAGGGCACAATGCAACCTAATGGTTAATTAATATGGTATGTCATTTATAAGCCGATCTAATATGCCAGGCAATTTTACTTGTTAAGGGGACAATCTTGTCCATTATAAATGGATTAATTGTATTTCTTAACTATATCCCAAAGTTTCATTTTACATTACAATATATCAAAAATAATCTATGCAGATATAAGAGAGGAAGTTCGTAAATAATGTCTAACTGAACAGTTGGGCTCTACTCCAATACTGGGGATATAATATATACCACCACTGAAGATGCTCTCAAATGTACATGTTATCAATCATTGGCAATTTGATTGGTTAATTGTCAGGGCACAATTTTGGTCAATGCCAATGGCAGCGAATATGCATTGGCTGGCACGTAGACACCCTTCATTCCTACAAATACCTAACTACAAGTCTACGTACTCTAATAGCTGTGGAATTTATATAACTCTGACATACTATGTTGGGCAGATGAATACCATATGTAAACCTCTGAATGGGTTATTCCAGAAAACATCCATACCACCCCCACAGAGGAAATTGGAAGTTAACTCCCCTACCCCCTTCGGATGTCCTAATACATTTACAATTATCAGAAACAATTTTGTCTCCTCTCCCCCTCGGGACGGCAGAAATTTCCTCTGTGTGGGGAGTGTGGAACGACCCAATGCTTATATTCATTCAATAGCATTTTTGATGGGCTGAGCTGTTGGAACCCCTTCGCTGCATTAAAAAATACCTGTCCAAAAATAAGTTTATGGGCTCACAAAGAGGGATTTAACCCATTGAGTTGCATTGCACCCTGATGCACCCTACTTTGGTATTTTACTCTGTCTAACACCAGACGATTTTACTCTTCAAGGGGAGAGTGCTTATATTTGGGGTCTGTCATTGGGGCTTAGGTTTATGGTCATTGCTTGATTGCAATGGGTATTGAATCATTTGAATGGTTTGAACTTGATATCTTTAATGGCCTTTAATTGGCCCAGCATATTCAGCAAAACAATTTAATTTTCACCTGCCTGTTGTAGAAGTGATAAATAATATAACTACAGTATACACAGTCATTATATATAACTGCTACAAGAACCGCTGGCAAGGCTATATATATCACTCAAAGCTTGTCAGGGAAAACTTGTTTATATCTCTATAATACTATAAAAGCCTGTAGTGCCATAAAATAAATATACAGTAAGTGCACAGTGAGGATTTTGACACTATAGTCTATAAGCAGGTTTTAAAACCCTACGGCTATGAAAATACAGAGACTAGTGGTATTAAAATCAATAAAATTTACAGGATTCCCAACCATTTTCCTACGGTTTGTGCTTCGTACATTTCTTAAATTTTTTTCTATCGAGTTTAATATAAAAGCAAGCAGACACAGCAAGCTAGAATCTAGAAATATTCAAATAACTGTATAAAATCTTACCGGTGAATAAAAATATATTCTTCTCGTTCTTGTTTGGAGAATTCTCACACATACGAGCGGCGTAAAAATGCAGTATCCGTTGTTTATCAAGCAAATTGGAAGAAAAATATCACGATTTTCAGTGAGATTTTCTTCTCAAAAACAAATTTTTTAGGCTCAAACCAGGGGGGTGAAGTACATCGTCGAAAGCTTAGGATCGCGGTTGGGACAGTGGTAGTTGCCATGAATTTAGGGACCAGTAGTCATGGCAATGGCGTCAGATCCGCCATGTTTTTGGCGACACTTTTTTATCCCGAGCAGGTCCTCCAGTAATATAGTATAGCTCAGTGGGTCTTCCTCAGCTCACGCGCCACCACGAGGAAGACCCTGGGGACGAGGTTGCAACTCGGCCTCGTTGTCTAATTGTTAAATATATATACTCTTTTAGTATAAATTTTGCATATCAAATGAGCTTTCGCGCGTTCTGATTGGCTAGTTGACTAGTAAATCTGAGGCATTATTTACCACCTGGGTAGTAAATAATACTTTTCAAAAAGAATGATTCGGCAAATTTGGTTTCAAAATCGACAAAATATTGAAAAAATCGTCCCAGAAAAAGAAAAAAAGCACAAAATGTTGTATTTAACTTGAAAGGTAGGATTTAGTATTATATTACTGTGTCAAACATATTCACGGATAATTTAAAACTTATTTAAAACTCCGAAACATTCGCTTCAAACGTAAATCTGAAATAGCAAAAAATATCCCGACTTTTGGGAAAAACCGTGATATTCTTTTTAAAACAATTTTGTTTTGTATCCTATAAATATCTCAATTTGTACGATACTATTTCTTTTGACTATGTCGTGTTTTCATTGTGCTGTATGGTGTCCTTTCGCTGTATTGTACTATTTGTGTTTTTAAAACTTGTAAAGTGAAAAGTGTATTAAAACTTTTATATTAATTTGAACGATATAGTTTTACATTTCATTTTACCAAATTTCTCAGCCATTTCCTGAACAAAATAATGCTAAACAGAAACTATTTTTTAATTCTAAGTCTGGTAAAAAAGTCATTCCATCATTGTGTTTATATTCTAAGCAGAAATCGAGAAAAATAACTTTGTAATAAAGCAATAAAGTCGCACAGGATGCCATTTTGAAAGCGTGCGTGTACAAGAAACACTGCAACACTAAACCGTAAAGCGGTCGAAAACAGTTTTATTTCTGAATTTTAATTAAACTTATAGTTGGATAACTTGGATATTTTGTTTTATTCATTAAAAATTTATACTAAAACAATTATTCGCCTCAGGCTCAGTGATTACGGTGAATATTCACCTCGACTTCGTCTCGGTGAATATTCACCGGTAATCACTTCGCCTTCGGCGAATAATTGTTAAGTAAATCACGCAATTCAGCTGTCCAGCTGCAAGGTGAATTTTAAATACACTATCTATCTATCTATCTATCTATCTATATTATAAAACAATTATACCATTCGCTCTCGTCGTATATCAGCTGATAGCCGACTCGGTGCTATGCATCTCGTCGGCTATCAATAATATACATGGGCGTACCGGAAGAAAAAAATTAGGGGGGCGGCAAGAAAATTGCCCGACTTTTCGAGATTCTGCCCGACTTTTCGGGATTCTGCCCGACTAGGACCAAAAAAATTTTTCCGGAAAAATTATTTTGGCGACCTCCCCCCCCCCCGTCGCCAAAAAAAATTTCGGTCAGTGTACCATTTTAGGGGTCAAAAAAATTTTCCGGACAAACAATTTTTCAGGAGCATAACATAAATTTTCGAAAAAAACAAAATTTGCCAAAAAATTGAATTAATTTTAGACAAAATTGACAGAATTTGACCCATTTTTTTTTATTGCAAACCAAAATTGCCCGACTGTTCATCGAATATTGCCCGACTGCCCAAAAAACTGGGGGGGCTGCCGCCCCCCCCGCCCCCCCGCCCGGTACGCCTATGAATTAATATACGATTCGAGCTCATGGTATAATTGTTAAATTTTCGTGTTCTGCATTATTAATTTCTTTTGAAATCGATTGTTTTTAAGGTCTGTGAACACGAATATATGAATATGCCCCCCCCCCCACACTTATTGATCTTTCGACGCCAATGGTTTCCAACAAGACTACAACGAAAAAGGAATGTTCGAAGGGGCCGAAGTTATGTTCGGCGAAAGATATTATGTATTATAATTTATTGAAATAATCTAGTTAAATCGGAAACTCATGTTAGTCATCTTCAAGTAACGTGATCGCACGCAAGCACAGAGACGAAAGTCGCAACATTTTACCAGATTTTACCAATGGATATTACATTCTATTAAATCATGGTTTTAAGGCCACGTTTTAAAGGAATTTTGGCAATATGTGGAGGAGTTTTAGTACATCTTTCCTTGGGCACACTTTATACATTTGGTAAGTTAATTTTCGCAAACCTGTGCGCAATATTGATGTGTTTACAAATTTTGCTTTGTATATTTACCAAAATCTGGCCTTGTTATAGGCAAAGTTTTTGTCTGATAGGCAAAGTTTTTAATTATGAATCGTTTAATCCGCAATGGCGGAACTGAGATTATAACATATAAATCTAAAGTACAGTAAATGGAGAACTGAGAAATTATTTAAAGTATATTAAAATTAAGTTGTATTGAGTTGTCATGTGAGCAGGGCTTTGTATATAAATTATATTGAGCTTGTTAATTGTTATAAATGCCTTTTGCAATCAATAAGTTTAGCAATCTATTGTATACTCAACTATGTCTAGGATGGAAGGACCTGAACGGCTGAACTTCCCATTTCGGATTTATTGTAAGTTCATTTTCTCAGATGTACATCATGGCATGGCCGGTATAAAAAGTGTGCCAGCGCTCCCCCCTTGATGACTGTATTAGTATAACAAAGTAGGACACATAGGGACTTAATGGGCTACCGTAAACCTCCGACTATAAGCCCTGGGCTTATATCCTTTCGTAAGCGATTTTTTATGGGCAAAAATGGGGGGCTTATATATGGGGGGGGGGCTTATACATGGACAATCTTTTGTGTTGGTGTAATAGTGATAAACAAGTATAGTAATAGGAATGTTCGGTATGAGAAATTTCCGGTATCGGTATACCGAAAAAATTATACCGATATTATCGGTATACCGGTTTTTCTTTGATAATTATAAAGGAAAATTCTTTAATGGAAATTTGAAGGAAATTTTGAGTAATTCTAAAAGGGAAAACGATAATTTCGAAGCTGTTTCGAACATGTTTCGAATGACATATACTCAGTGTAAAATCTCACTGAAGTGGTAGAAAGTTCTTCGAAATGCCATTCAGTAGTAAAATTAAGGTTATGGTTTTGCCATATAGTTGGTAAATTTAACACGGTATACCGAAAAATTCTGGTATATCGGAAATTTCGGTATATCGGTATGGTTGAATATCCTATATCGATATACCGATATTGATTTAATTAATACTGATATTTTCGGTATATTGGTATACCAAACAGTCCTATATAGTAATAGTGATAAACAAGTGTTAATTAAACATAGTAATAATAGTGATTAATAGTGGTAATAGTGATAAACAATAGTGATAAACAAGTGGGCTTATATTTGCATGGGCTTATATTTGGGGGGGGGGGGGCTTATATTTGGAATGAGGTGAGTGTTTAAGTACATGTGGTGGCCTTATACACAGAGGGACTTATATTTGGGGGCAGAGACGGATTTTCATATTTTTGTTCGAGGGGGGTGGTGGATAAATATCTGGGGGGTGCTGCTGCTTGCTTTGGCCGGGGCGTGGTGGCAACGCCCGGAAAAGCCAAGGAAAAAGTTTAACAAAATGTGTTTTCTAGGCCTGCATGGCGAGATCTGAGACCATAATATTGGTAATTTTACAAATTTAGTAGTAAGAATAATCAAATATGAAACTATCAAATCAAAATATATATAATTTGCGGGGATGCAAAAACGTTTTGGGGCGGTGCCAAATGCCTCTGGGGGGGGGGTGCAAATCATTTCGGGGGGTGGGGTGGGTGCGCACCTCCCCCCGCACCCCCAGAAAATCCGTGCCTGATATATAGAGAATATTAGAAGGTTGCGAGGTGATATGGATTTTATGTTCGAGTGGTAAAAACATGAGATATTGTTTTTGACACGAGAACATAATTCCATATCTTCTCGCAACCGTTTAATGTTCTGTTTATTATACGGACTTCTTCAGAGTGACAAAAATACACGCAAAGACGACATGTAAATAAGCTGCGAAAGACCAGTATAAAAGCGATATTTTTCAAATTATAGTGCAAACATAAAACTAGAATAAATTTTACTTGCCTCAAGATGTCTTTTACATGTTTTCGTTTTATTTCCAACGTTAATTTCGTTTTATATACGAACCAAAGACCACTTGTATTTTCAAAACAAGAATGAGAATGGCGGGAAATTTTCGAAGTTCGTATGTCACTAGCAAACGTGAAATACGGAAAATACGCGCACCTGGTCCCGGATGTAGTGGCATATGAGTTCTACGAATGTTTTAGTTTCCAGTAAAACACCATTGTCCATATAATAAATGGTGATATTTTCGCTACATGGTCTGGATGACGCGTCAGTTGGATGATGCGTCTTAACCATTCATCAAACGTTTCAAATGCGTTTACTTTTACCTTTTGTTTTGCGAAGAAGCAAGCTCCTGAGATTTGATATAGTCTGTGGCAACTTGTCGAACTTCCTTTGCTGTTAATATCGCACCTTTGCTGAATAAAACAAAATCGCAGATCAAAAATGTTAGTCGAAAATGTTCCTGCTCATTTTAATCAAAATTCTATTTTATTTCACTTGATTTCAAGGAAAGTGTATCATGAGAATTTAAAAATAGGCTAAAATCTAAAATAGGTTTAAAAGTAACCTAAGCCCTTTGTATGAAATTATTATTCTGATACTACCTGACTATGAAGTTGCACCCCCCCCTCTCTAGAACTACGCTTGGTTATTCAGCAACAATAGATTGTAATCAATAGATTGCAAACAATGCAGCTGTTTATCATTTCACTCGTGCATGACCAAGTTCATTTCAAACAATGCTTCCCATTTGAGCCATTAATCGCATATCATGCATGCACGTGTTAAGATACCTCCCTCATTAAAATTCACTGACAAAAATAAAGGTTAAGCCTTATCAGCACAAAAATGTCAAATTGAAACACCTTACTCACTGATTACGCTGATCAACTGGCTATATATGTTTGCTCATCATCAACGTACCTGTAACCACGACATTCGAAAAGAGGGCGAGTAGATCCTGATACGGCGAAAACATCTTCAATTTCTGGTGGCTAATGATATACAGAAATTATAATTATACACATGATACGTCAGCTAATTATAAAAGCCGACCAATAATAAAAACATAGATAAGTAAATATAATTTATTATCATTGTCATCGCAATGAACGTGTTGTGCAACCATCACCTGATACTTATTGGTCGGTATTGATTCACTATCGTTTTGACGTTTCTCGCTAATTATATCTGAATTTTCTTTCTTGAAGGTTTTTAAACTGAAAAATAAAGCATTTCTTATTAAATTTCTTATCAATATACCACCACTTTATTTATTTATTTATTTATTCATTTATTTAGCCATCCTTCTTTTAAATTATTAATTCTGTTTATTTCTTATTCTTCTTTCCATTCTCTCCTCTTTTTTTTACTTTCAATTAATTCAAAACTATTTATCAATGATAACAGATTCCGGTGTTCCAAGCGAAGTCATCTTATCAAGATGTTGCACAGTCAGGAAATATAAGACATTTACCCTGTTTTCCCATCACGATCGCCAAGCGCTTGAAAAGTCTGTATATCTCCATTTCGGAAGTTTTGAATCTTACAGAAATCATTTTGCAGTTTATAAGACTATATATGGAAATCCTATCTTTGGAAAATGCAGGGACAGCCTGGAACACATCATGTTTACGATGTTTACTGTATTCTGTGACTGTGTCTGTGATGTACAATGTTGATACATTTATATGTATAAAACATTTTTGTAACTTGGTCATTTCCCAAACCTTCTTTCCAGGTTTAAGGTAGTTGACTTAGAAAGGACTGCAATATATGGGTGGTCCATGTCTATAGTTTGGAAGGTGTAAGGATGGTTTGGAATGCATTGATCGTGTGTTGTAATTTTATGTTGTGGGCTTTATTAAAGTTTGTAACCCGGTCTGTCTTTGTTTTACAATTCCAATGTAATGTGTAGGTAGGACTTAATTTGGGACTCCTCAGTCCTGTTGTCTGTACCTTCAATCGTTTTGTTGCATGATTGTAAAGTTTATAAATATAAAATAAATATATGTACATTGGATTATCATGCAAGTTTATCGGTTTCTTTCGTTTGTTACTATATCATGCACATATCGTAATACACATTTACATGAGATTCTTACTTTTCGTGTGCCCAGTTAACATTATCGATGCAATGTACGCCTTTCGACTGTTCTTTCATTGCAATAAACCCTCTGTCTTCCATCACTTGAAGGAACTTTGTTAACTAAAATAAACATATTTCCATTTCGGGACAATAATATACCTGGGCAACTCTAGATACAAACACGAGGTACAACACCGGAATGTTTGTTGCATCCGAGCCCTAGATACAGTAGGAAAGTTTCAGTAAGCGCTGTGGTTCCAGTGAGCCATTCAAGAAATTAGTTATCTCAAGTGAGATGACCAAAGTCCTGATATTTACCCATACACTGTATATTGACACCTTGCGGTTAGAGCTCGACAACTGTCTTTCTGTATAGCTCAGTTGGTTAGAGCGCTGCACCGGAATCGCAGGGTCGCAGGTTGGATTCCTGACAGAGGTCCTATAGTTGCATTTTTCGGTGCAACAGCTCCTGGTTAGGTCTAGTAAATGTATAAAAATTCCACTCGAAATTTCCATGTACAAATCCCTTCAACAATATTGTGCAGCTATCGGCTTTTCTGACGTTTACAAATGTGTGCCTGTGCTACATCATAATGCTTATATTACTGAACTAATATTCTGCATGCGTATATCTAACTTATATCCATGCAAAAGTATCGATACGGTACATTCCAATAGATTTTTGGTACGAGCATGGATAATAAAATAAATGGATAGGAAACTAGCTGACGTGACCAAATGTTTTCAATGAGCTGATGGATGGCGTGGTTGGATACCTCAACCTAGTTGAAAACCAAATTCTCAAAAACGGCATGTTTAGCAATAATACAGCTAAACATTTTAGTCAAAGAGCAAATAAATATAACCACGCCATTCTACGATGAAAATTTTTCTAAGTATTCCCAATCAATTTTAGCAAATATTTCAAGCACTAAAAAGTGAAAAATACATCGCAAATTTCGTTAAAATTTGTGACGCCAATTTCGTAGCTACAAATGTAAAAAATACAAATTAAACAAAGACGAAAAACATTTACCTTGAATACTTTGTCGTGGCTTAGGCATGTTTTTAAAACAATTAGACCAGTTTATGCTTCAATATCACCCTTTTAAAGTGGAAAATATAGCAAAACAACAAAAATGCCGAGAACTTTGGTAACATTCGCAATACGCGTGACGTCACGTTTTTCAACAAGGATGCAGTCAATGACGTCAGGAAGTTTCCTATCCAGTTATTTTACAATCCATGGTAAGAGTAATAAATAACATATCTGTTTTGGTTTGGTTTGTGGAAAACATACATCACGTATATTGATTAGAGAGGTTTAGATTTTGACTTCCTGTTACAGTTCCACTACCATTAACCGATCAGATGAATTTATTCTACCTGATTAACCAATCAAATGTGTCAAACCTGTGAGAGGCAGCGGTATATAAACTGAACCTCTCTATTTATTATTGCGATACTTTCGATCCGTAAGCCCGGATTTTTATCAGTGCTAACAATATAATTATATACAATAATACCTTTTTGTAGCTGGACTTTTTAATATCCAAAGTTTGATCTTGAGGGCTGAAAGGTAACAAAAAGAATTATTTTCATTGTGCAAGATCGCGAGTGACTTTCCATATTACTACCCCGAAATGACGTCACAAAGATTAGAGTTTGGTATGGGATTGCGATTATCCTGAGCACAGACCTTTGTTTCGTTGCCCTAAAATTTGCGGGTGGGATGGTAGATTGATAGATGGTAAATTGATAAGAGTACTGTTATGGTAGAAATCGCTGAATGTAAAATGAGAATGTCAACAGTGAAAGATCTATGAACATGGCTGGACACCTATTATATAGCTATAATGATTACCAAACATATCTTACCAGCATGGAAGTAAATAATTTTTATAAAACGTGCTAGTCAAGATTGGCAATTCATTATTCTTGATACAGAGTAAAGCATGCATTAAACTTCTTTCCAACAGTGTGTCCATGGAATCTGAAAATAAAATACAAACTGTTTCAAATTGATCAAAATGTTTTTATCAAATAAATTAATTATTTCCTTCAATATATTTAAACAGGTCAAACGAACAGCCCTTTTTGATAGAACGGAAAATCAGCTAGTTCACCTTAAAACAGTTTTGAAACACTAGTCAGTGTGTGCTCCACATGTATTATTAGGCGAGGTTGAGCTTTCGGGCTTTGGTTAATACACAAATTGAGGCCTTGATAATTCTTTTTAGTATTTTTGCACAAGTGAACATAACAAATCCTACAAGTTGATTGGTCAAATTTGACGAATTAAGCTGTTATATTCACCTACAGGTGAATATAACAAAACCGAAATTTTCAAAATGGCGGCTAGCCGTTTTGTGGACGTTATACTGATAAAGAAATAAGCGAAATTAAAATAAATTCAGTCCCAAAAAACACAAAAATACTAAAACAATTATTCGCCTCAGGCTCGGTGATTATCGGGGAATACTCACCTCGACTTCGTCTCGGCGAATATTCCCCGATAATCACCTCGCCTTCGGCGAATAATTGTTAAATATCATGTGAAAACCGAATTGGCAATTCCAGCTTTTAATTATGTACGCAGGGGGTGATGGGAAGTAAGGTATCATATTGCTGATTATGCTGAAACATTTCAATAAAAACTGCCGAAACAACCGAAATATTTCAATATTTACAAGTATATGCTATCACTCCGTGTTAACACGGCCGTCATTTATATTTTTTCAGCATAATCAGCAATATGATACCTTACTTCCCATCCTCCCCTGCGCGCATAAATTAAAAGCTGGAATGGACCATTTGCATTATAGACTAAATTTTGATCTAAACAAGTCTAGACAAAAATTTCATCACAGCTTTGAAAGAGCATCACAAAATTAGTAATATTCCAAAGTTTCGTTGCGAAATGTTGTAAAATGCGGATAATATAGCTTTGCGAAATTTGCAATTTTCAGTCATTTTGTATTACAAACGGGAAATTGATGCCCCAACACCCGATTGGGCTGTCAATTTCCCGTGCGTAATACAAAATGACTGAAAAACGGCAAACTTCGCAAGGCTATATTATCCACATTTTACAACATTTCGTTGCGAAATGTTGGAATATTACTAATTTTGTGATGCTCTTTCAAGCTGTGATGAAATTTTTGTCTAGATCAAAATTTAGTCTATAATGCAAATGGCCATTGCCTATTCAATAATTGCTTTACTATTTATTTAAAAAATGAAACAGCAGCCGGTTGTAGGAAGCCCTTTTTGTTGTGACACAATTCCTCACTCCTTCGGCAGTCGTCTTTGGATGATGTCGTAGCGTTCAAAATTATTTTTTCATATCAACGTTATGACGTCACGCCGTTGAATACTATGTCAAAACTCCATACTTAGCTATTGAGTTGATATGACAATTTCACAGTCTATCAGAAATCATGAATTGTTTTAAATAAATAATAAACTATTTTAAAAAGTGTGTTCTGTTGTTGAAGAGCATGTTGAACGGTGATCTTGGTTAAGATATAGCTCACGAACAGCATGCATCCGGAACAAACGAGAGTCATTGGCATCCTCGTAGTAGTAGCTTCACATTCTTCAAATGCTATCAGGCACGTAATACCAATAGCTGTTGCGGTTTGTGTTTGAGGCAGTTTGGGAAAACACGCCATGCAGTTTATTGTGGAACGTCTCTTTCATTGCACACCCACGTTTGGGACATCATCACGTGATATCCAATCGCATTTAAATTTGAATATTAGAAAGCTATTTTAATGTTATAAAATTTTATGCTCGTCTCATTACCGGTAGGACAACATCCAGTAGTGTCTTCCTCTAAAGTCACATCTGTCTCTTCGGGACAAGTGTCCTCCGTATCGTCTTTACTTGAACTTAAAACATTTGCAACTTGTGTCGACAAAGTTTCATCACTATTCAACGACGACGATCCTGCCGTTGCGGCGTGCTCTGTTAGTCCTATACTGTTTATATTTTTGCTTAATGTTTCATTACACTCATCACCAGGAATATTTCCTGCAGTAGTTTCTATTGTCACATCATTTTTATTTGAGTCAATATTTGTTGAATAAGAGTTTTCATTTGTTCCAGAATCTACGACATCTGTTTGTTTATTGTCTTTGTCTTCTACTTCAGAAGGATTTGCATATGAGGTTGGAAGAATCATTGGAATATCACACTTGGAACCTTGGGACCTGAAATGTACGACTATTTAAGTCATGGAAATTTTCAAGCGGAAAACTTTATAGATGTTTTAAAACCTAACCAGGATCAGTTGCATAAAATGCAACAGACAATTCCCATTATAGACTAGGCAAGAAGATGCAAATAAATCAGCATACTAAAAGAGCATATTAAAATTTGTAAAATTACAAAGTTTGGGGGCGAAATGTTGTAAAATGCGGAAAATATTGCCTTGCAAAGTTCGCAAGTTTCGTATACTTTTGTATTGCGTACGGAAATTCCTGCCACATTCTTACCACATTTGGGCCGAAAATGGTAGCAATTTCCGCACGCAATACAAAAGTATACAAAATATGCACACTTTGCAAGGCTATATTTCCGCATTTTACAACATTTCGCAACCAAACTTTGTAATTTTACTAATTTTAATATGCTTTTTCTAGCTGTGGTGATTTATTTGCATCTCCTTGCCTAGCTTTAGAATTAGTCTATTATGGGAATTGCCTATTATAGGACCTTCGGCAGGAATCGATTCCGGTGCACAAAAGTCCTATTGCCAAGAGCAAAAGAAATTCTAGCTGCATGTTTATTAAAGAGTGGGTAAGAGAACAGCGTCGCGGATTGATAGTAGGCTTGGGTAAATTATGCTCGAAAATATGGCTATTATGCCCGAAGGCAGTGCTCGTTAAAACAATGTATTATGCTCGTGAAGCAGCCTATTATGCTCGACGTACTAATTTTTGTACCTATTAGGTACAAAAGTCGTACATTTTAGCTTTAAAATGTTCAAACAAGCCAGATTTGACTTTCTGGGAGATCTCAATACAGTCCAGCATTTACAACTAAATTATTTCCTTCTACACACTTCAGATTCCTCACCGTCTATAACTATGCTTTCAACTGTTCCAAGCCTTTCATTATGTAAATTATTGTCCTCGTCATCATTCTCGTGCCCAGCATCCCGGCGGCCTAACCCGAACCAGTGAACTTTGGGGCCTGTGGGCACTAGCCGAACTCCCTCTCTTTAGTCTCGTTCCATTTTTTTATTTATGTAGACTGTAGCCCCAAAGCCAAAGCATTATTTTATTATTTTTGAAATCTTTGCTCGAAAACGGCCTAATATGCCGACTATGCTCGTAAGTGCCTATTATGCTCCTGAAGCCCTATTATGCTAGAAAAAATTTACCCAAGCCTAATGGACCATTCCCCAATTAACCAAAATTTTGATCTAAACAAGTCTAGACAAAAATTTCATCACGGCTTGAAAGAGCATCGCAATATTAGTAATATTCCAAAGTTTCGTTGCAAAATGTTGTAAAATGCGGATAATATAGCCTTCCGAAATTTGCAATTTTCAGTCATTTTAGATTACAAACGGGAAATGGTTACCACTTCTGCGTAATACAAAATGACTGAAAATTACAAACTTCGCAAGGCTATATTATCCGCATTTTACAACATTTTGCAACGAAACTTTGGAATATTACTAATTTTGTGATGCTCTTTCAAGCTGTGATGAAATTTTTGTTTAGGCTAGTTAAGATCAAAATTTTGGAAAAGTGGTAACCATTTCCCGTTTGTAATCTAAAATGACTGAAAATTGCAAATTTCGCAAGGCTATATGATCCGCATTTTACAACATTTCGCAACGAAACTTTGGAATATTACTAATTTAATTTGTGATGCTCTTTCATGCTATGATGAAATTTTGTCTAAACTTGTTGAGATCAAAATTTTGGTTAATTGGGGAATGGTCCAATGATAGGATCCCTATTAATCCACAGCTTTCAGTTTTCTTATTATTGACACTACCTACACTGGGACAGACTGTTAAAACGGTCAGCATTGGGCGCTAAAACAGCTGGAGTTTGCTGGAGTCGTGCAATGTTTAATCTCTTCCCCATCCAAAATAAGAAACAATTCATAAACTAATATAGCTGAAAAATATTTAGCAATTTTGGAACGTTTTAATTCTAATTAAAGTAACAAATCACTTGGTAAAAATCGCTTTAAGTAGAAATTGTTCACCAATTTAAAATTTCATTTTTTCAACCTACGAAAGGTCACAGAACTTTGAAAAACAGATAACAGAATAAAACTGGAATACAAAGTGATATTATGAAAAGTTCAATGCAATGCAATGCAAGAAAAAAAATATATCCAAGTACTGTACTGTACTGTGTACTGTACTGTACTGTACTGTACTGTACATGTTCGACATAATTTCCACGAAGTTTCAACAATAAACTTACCATAAATGATCAAGATATGAATGAAGAATAATCACTCCCTTGCCTCGCATACCTTGTTCTCTTGCCTCACTAGACGATACTGCTGTATAACCAACAGCTACTGGAGCTCTGTATCAAGATTGCAGAAATATATACGTCAAGTTCCTTTTAGGATTGCATGGCGATAATATTATGATTGAATTTTAGATTGAATTGAATTGAAAGATGATTTCTCTAGATCTATAGATTTCTTGCTTTCTGTTGCTATAATCAACCAATGCCAGAGTCTGTTCATATAGTTTGAATAAACTGGCTAACTTTAATTTTAACCAAAATTCATTTTGCTCTACCTGTTCCCAAGCAAGGCAACTGAACACACTTGTTGTTTCTTAAACTCCTGTTCTTTATCCAGATCTATTTGTATTACACCTGGCAACATCAGATCTACAAATAGGGAAACTTAGCAAACTATTGCTTAATCATAATTAAAGCTATATGTATATACCACTTAAAACACGAGTAGCAGTGTATCTAAACTGTATCTATATAAAACAAAAACATGGGACTAATCTCAAATTATTAAAGAACGAGTAGAACCTGCGGTTTTCAGGTTGCAAAAGCCGCGTAGTACGGGAGCGCGTGATGAACCTATTAATCAACTGCCATGCGTCAACAAGGTTATGGAAGGCTAGGGTACCAGTCGAAGGTCCTCGCCTTATTAACAATCGTTGATGGTTGCGACACTATGCTTTTACGCAATGCTCCGGATTCTTCCTTTATTAGTATAGAGTAATACTGTAATAGTATGGTTTCTCGTGCAATTTGGAAAAACATGCACGAGTGAGTTTTTCAAAGACTGTCAAAATTGTCCAATTTGAAGTCTTTGAAAAACTCACGAGTATATGTTTTTTTCAAATTGCACGAGAAACCATACTATTACTTATTAATAATATATATGAAATAATTATGCAGTCACTCCATAAATGTTTGTTTTTTTGTATTATTTCTGCTGGAAAATTGCTGTATATTATTGGCTATCTTTGTTATTGTTTCATATTTTAAGCCAATCAGAAAGCCTAAATAGTCCATGAAATTTGCACTGTATTTCTTTTTTACACTGTATTTCATTTTTTGGCACTGTATTTCGAAACAATTGTACTGCTCTTAGTCAATCAGAATTGAGAAATGTTTTCATGTATATTATTAATACCGAAACGATATAGGATGGTCCTTAGACATAGTGGGCTTCTAGACAGAACAATTTAGAACTCTAGCAATATCCAGTTAAAATATAAAGTTAGTTTAGTTGAACCATACAGATATTGCAGAAATTTTAGTTGAACCATGCATATAATGCGAAAATATTTTACATTCCGCTTGTGCATATGCAAGATATTTAGACATTCTAACTGAGCGTACTATATTACTGGAACGTTAATTACCTGCACCTCCACGTAATTTCTCAAAAACATTCGGCCACGTTGTAAACACCGGTATCATGTCAGGATATTTCCATAATATATAAACTGAAAACATTTAGTAAATATCTGTTAAGAAACAAAATTTTACTACAACTAGACATGCACAAACAAAAGATTGTGGACTGAGATAGAATGTTTACAAACTGCACCCACATTCCACAATTCGACGACACGTCTGAGAAGTGTTTTGAATTTTCCACCGTTTATATGATTAAAATAGACGATGCTGAATATTTAGAATCCTACTCTGTTGCAAACTCGTTTCTAGGCTCTTCCCTCCTTGACTCTATTAAGGTTTTGTAGATGGAAATTTCGAGTGGAATTTCCATCTACAAAATCGGAATTTCCATCTACAAAAACCTTCATATAAGTTCAGTCGAGTGAGATGCCCCAAATCCTTGACTCTGTTAGCCTTTCTCACGCTCGGCTTGTCATTTCTAGGGTGCTGCTTCTCCTAAGTCCCAAGTGGCTGAGAGTATATAACGGTAAATTCACAGCCACAACTTGGAAAAGTCGCTTTTCACATTGTTGATTGTCTAGATTCTCTGACGAGGGGAGACATTGCTCCAAAGATGGCAGATATGGACCAACGTGAGAATGGTTGATTGAATGGCAGAGTATTTTACTCTGTCTAACGCCAAACAATTTTACTCGTTAGAATCATGCAGTGGAATAGTCTTACGGGAACGAGTTTGGGCAAAGCAGGTACTGAGCGTGCGTTGTTTTAATTTTAGGGCCTGCAAGCGGGATCGTATACGTGAACAAGCCATTAGAGACATGCTTCAAAACTTCTACAAGGTGACAATGGGAGAACAAACCTGTAGGATATAATTGTGTTTCCACTTGGAAGAATATTGGTGATCCATTCAGAGTGTATGCTGTGACATGTTGACCAGAATGTGTCATAATTTTCATGACGGACATATCGTCTTTGTTCGGGATAATTTCAGAGGCAAGCTCTTGTGTGATATAGGGAAATCCTCTCAAAATATCATTTCTCAATTTCCGCCTATAAGTAATAAGATGTAAACATGAACAAGTACACTTTATTGATATATGTTATTAAGTTAGAGCTTAAAGGACCATTCAGTTGCTTCTGTATTTCACTAACGTTAATATTAAAAAACATCATTATTCATAGGAACTTTTTTACGTGATGAAGTAAGCATTCTTGGTAAATTTGTTGCTTCACTGTAAATCTGGAAGTGTTGTGCCAACACCAAAAAAGTGTATATGTACACTTATTTGGTGTAACTTGTAATTTTACACCGTTTGAGTGTAATATTACACTATTGCAGTGTAGTTGGACACTACCTCAGTGTACAAATAACACTGCTTTGGTGTAAAGCAGGAAAAAACCTTGCTAACACTTATTTTGGTGTAAACTTACATTGAGGGGTGTTTGCAAGGTAACACATGTACACTGTGAGAGTGTATATACACACCTGTTTAGTGTAAAATATAGAACACTCTTTTGAGTGTAAGGTTACACTTCGCATAGTGTATAATTACGCCAACGACAAGTTAAAATACACTAGCGTGGTGTCAAGTCCAAAATGATTTTTATACTTGTTTGATGCAAAAATGACCTTCAAAAGTGTATGTTTACACCCGCAGTGTGAATGTACACCAAATACGTTGCACATATTTAACACTGCGAAGGTGTGAATTAACACCAAAATAAGTGTTAAATAACACGTAATCAGTGTCCGTAGCGTTGCAAGAATTTACACCGATTTTGGTGTTGGGGTAACACTTCCAGATTTACAGTGTTGTCAGAGAAGCAAAATATTAAAACCATGCATTCAGAAGAATATCAAGATTTTGTTGGCATCTCACTCGATTGAATAATAGTTGAAGAGTGCTGTAGATGGAAATTATCGAGTGGAAATTTTTATACATTTTTATTAGACCCAACCAGGAACAACTGCGAAAAATCCAACTTTACGTCCCTGGTAGGAATCTAACCTGCGGGACCTAAATTGTATTTTTCCCTTGCAGGGACCAAAAGTTGCATTTTTCGAATATGTTCCTGGTTGGCTGGTTAGGTCACATGGCAGCACCCTGGTATATATACATGAACTTGTGGTTAGAGCTCAACAGCTGGCCTCTGTAGCGAAATTGGTTAGAGCACTGCACCGGAATCGCAGGGCCGATTCCTGCCAGGGATCTAATGTTGCATTTTTCGCATCTGTTCCTGGTTAAGGTACGTTTACACGCTGCGATTTGTATTCGTATTCTAGCGTATGAAAATTACTGCTGACGCCACAACTCCTCTTCTTTTATATTTGTGGTGTTACTCTGAGTGTATATCCACACCGGGCGAGCTTGAAAAATATGCCCGGCCACGGTGGGATTCGAACCTACGACCTTTGGAATACTAGCCCAATGCTCTTCCAACTGAGCTACGCGGTCAGGACTCAAGTCAAGCTCGCCCGGTGTGGATATACACTCAGAGTAACACCACAAATATCATATTCACCTGAGTACACTACACCAACACAGAAAAAAATTCCTCTTCTTTTAGTTTACAGCGAAATTTGAAATGCAACTACTTTTCGCGTGCCGATTCGATTACATACGCCAAATTACGAATCGTACACAGCAAATCGCAGCGTGCAAACGTACCTTTAGGTCTAATAAAAATGTATATAAATTTCCACTCGATAATTTCCATCTAGAATATCCTGCATTTACAAGAAGCTAGCGAATAGGGAATTACGGCTCACGGCTAATAACAGGCCGGCATGCGTTTTCATGGGAATTACGGCTCACGGCTAATAACAGGCCGCCATTGTTCTTCACGAACGTCAAGTGACTGAAATGGTTTAGTCTGTTTGTATCCGTATGCAACTGGATGACGTCTTCTGTGCTGTTGTTCTTTAATTCTGGCTCAACATTGTCAATACCGTCAACTTCACGAGTATTCGGGAACAACTATCTTCTGTCTGACATTAGTGTCACGACAGAAGTTCTTGATGTGGGACTCCACATTCTTGTCCAACCCGCTCGACTCTACACTTGAACTCGTTCCGGTGATAATACGTATTACTGTAATAACAGTAAATTATAGAAAACGGTTGCTTTCGTCCTCGGCATGAGTATCGATTAATTTAATTCTTCGTATTCATTCTTTCCAGGGACGTTATACCTGACTGGGACGTTACCTGGGTTCCAGGGGCGCCGGAAGCAATGTGAAGCGGCAGGGGCAGCCATTTCAAAAGGGCACTTCATTTTTCTGAGCGGTAATATTTGTTAAAACTTTACTGAATGGATACTCGATTACTTGTGGCTATTATGGGTTGGCAAACTTCGACATTAATTTCGAACAATTGTATTCGTTGCACTGTGCTAAAGGTGCAAAATAAAATCAGTAAACGGACATATATTGCTTGATTTAGCATTAGTTTTACTGCAACTGGTTAAAATTTAAGCAAAGATTGCTTAAACATTGCTTAAAAATAGTTACAAATTCCAATTCCTGTGAATAACGAACGAATTTGAAAGTGCAGTTCCAGTAAAAAGGGCAACCTGTTACCCCCGTGCTGCCCCCACACTGTTTGGGCAGTGGGAGCAGTTGCCCCCGCTGCCCCCGTGGCTACGGCGCCCCTGCTGGGTTCTATGGAACCTAACCTATGGCGTGGCTTCTTCTTTCTCAAGTCCTTCACTTAAGAACTTTGTCTTTCAGGAAAGGAACATTGAATATGGAACTAACTGACAGCATAGCTGAGAGGAACCATTATGACTCAATACACACCTAGCTGAATGTAGTAATGTCAGAAAGTACACCCCTAGCAGAAAATAATACCATTATTACAGTATATCAGAAAGTTTGATCTTGGACTATCTATTCTTACCCCTTAGTTAATTATAATGAAAATTAATTATAGCATGCCAAATGCAGCTATTATACAATCATGTTTATTTCCCAAAGGTTCACATTCCGAAGTAACGAGATCACTGTGAGATTCGCAACCATTGATCAGTGTTCGCAATCGATTTGACAAGAGCCAAGAGGCACTTCCGTCTTCGTGTTTTCTCCCTCGCTGTTCCTTAATTTGCCTCACCGCGGTTCTGGATTTTTCTATTTTAATAAAGGAGAATCTTAGCCTTGTTTTAACGAACTTCAGTTTCGAGAACGATCTTTCACAGGAGCACTGGGTGTCAGTCAATTTCCTTTTCTGAACTCAAATTTCCTTGACACTTCGTAACTGGCACTATTTTGACGACGAATTCTTTACGCGACTAACATATTGGCGGCTGGACAAATCATGTTCCAAGAATCATAGCTCAGGAGCCACGTGAATTTTCAGCAAACAGAAATAGACTGAATCTGTCATCCTTCCAATCATTCTGGGCCCCACCAAGGCACCGACAAGAACTTTGAAATTTGCTGCGTTACTTTTCACTTTCCATTATTAAATTATTGAAACCAGGCCTCTCACTTCCTGTTGTTACATTTTCCTTAAATTTTCGGTAGATTCCTTTACATTATAGGAATATATATATATATATATATACCTGACCGTGAACCCCCCCCTGAATGTTTTAAAGATTCAAGGATAATTGCCCCCCCCCCCTGGTCTCTCCCCCCAAATAAACTAGCTTGCACTCTTCAATGCAGGAGCAGTGATATTTCCTCGTTATGAATTCTTTGGCTAGTGGGTTCCAAATTTAACTGGGGTGAGAATAGATAGTCTGAGATCAAACTTTCTGATATACTGTAATAATGGTATTACTTTCTGCTAGGGGTGTACTTTCTGACATACTGTAATAATGGTATTACTTTCTGCTAGGGGTGTACTTTCTGATATACTGTAATAATGGTATTACTTTCTGCTAGGGCTGTACTTTCTGACATTACTACATTCAGCTAGGTGTGTATTGAAACTTGGTTCCTCTCAGCTATGCTGTCAATTATAGTTCCAGCTCTGACATAAATTTTTCAATATTTTGGGTTCTTCCATTTGGCTTGAAATCATTAAAGAATCAAGTTCTCACACAATGCTGGGAGCTGCTGCAGCCGTCCGCTGCAAGCTTGACTTTTATTTACACAATAACAGCTAACACAGCTAATAATACATAGCTCTGCAACTTAATTACGTTATTTACATAAAAAAATTACTGAGGAGTTATAATTACTAATTAGTTATATAAACGTCCACTGCATCTAACAAGCTAAATTACTATAACTAACGGGCAGGCGGGGATTTATGTCAAGCGTTGCAGACAGGGCATTTTTTAAGAATTCGTCAGTGGGGGGGGGGGGCATCTACTACAAAAAGGGACCATAC